AACTTCAAGGAGGAAAGGATTTTTGAATCAGAAACTAAATACTGATTTCTGTAAGAAAAATTGTTGTGTCTAATAAGGTACGTAAAAAAATAATGCATTACAAAGCAGATAATATACATTTAATTTCATTTTTTAAAGTTGCAAGTTGTTTAACGATTAAAGTGCTTTTTAAAAACGTACCCATTTCAATAACACACTTTTAAGTTGAAAGACTGTGTATTTACTTAAGGTTTAGTTTAATGGTGATAATAATATTAATAGCTTTGTATCTGGGGCAAATTTAATACAGAAATAGCTCTTCAAACATGAGGAAGCTCCCCTGCTGATATGGGGTATATGTATATCTAATAAATCTCTAGCATTATCTTGGCTGATTGTCAAGAACATATCACATCAGCTGACTAGAAGTGAGGGGATTTGCTTAAATATTTAATTAGTAGTGAAGAGTTTCTCTTTAAAAAGTAGTGTATAATTGTTGCAACGAAGCCCAACTTTCTAATTTCTTATTTAGTATTTTGTTTGCCTGGCTTCCTGGGTGTAAACAAAAAAGAATTCCGGATTTTTTCGGAAGGTCAGTTGGGTGCAGAAGGTGGCCAAAAGGCCGGTGGACAGGCTGTTGGCGAGTCAAATTAAAATTCAGTTTATGCGGCCTGAAGAGTGGAAAGCTCAGGGCGTTATGTAAGCCATTGTTTGTGGGTGGGAAATGTAATAATTCCGAAATGGCCCTCAAAGCACGTGGAAATAATTACGCAAGCGTTTTTACCGGGCCAGCGGTAAATTCAATTTGGCCCGACTGAAGGGGAAATCTGCCATTGCAGCGAAAATCTCAGGTCATCAATTTGCTGTTCGGCAAGGATGCTGGAATTCAAGGGCCTGAACATTCAATTGCAGCGACTAAACTACACGAGACAAGTTCCGTTTGGCAAAACATAAATCTGGCAGCCAACGCACACACAAGCACTCGGCCAAAAAACACACCCTTCCACCCAATAAAAACAAAAAAAAAAAAAAAAAAAAAAAAAAAAAAAAAAACAAACAAACAAGCAAGCAGCGAAATGAGAGAACAAACAAATAGTCAGAGATACAACTACATATAAAGATGCAGATGCAGAGGCAGATACAGATACGGATACGGATACGGATCCAGATACTCTCCTGCTGCAATCGCATGCAGACATGCTGAAAACATTGGAGGACATGTGTAATTTCTCACGTGCAACTGCGGGGTCTCCCCCTCCCCCTCCCCCCTCTACATTTCCCTCCCACTCTTTTCGGGTTCCACCGCCATTTTCACACAATGGTGAGGCGGAAGGACGCCAGCTGAGAACAAACAAAATGCCAAATGAAACAAACAATAAAAATGCTTGTATGTAGCAGCGAGCATAAAAGGAAAGTGCTTAAAAAATAATAGTAAATTACACAGACAAGCACGGGGCTCCGGTGCCACGCCCCCATGCCCCCATGCGCCCCTTGCCCTCAAAGCGCTGCCACGCCCCCCACTGCCATGCATGACAAGCTTGCGTTATTTTTGGGGCAAGCTGATTTAATCCCAGGCAGCCAGCCGAAGGGGCAAGGACGAAGGCGGTGGGGCGTTGAAGGGTTAACGGTTTACTCACCTGCGCAATTTGCAGCACACCACCTGCATCTGGCTGGGAATCCCATGGAACCCATGGACGGAGGATGGAAATTAGGAGGGGTCCTGCGGATTCCCTGCCGTTTTTACGGCTGCTCGCCTTTTTGGGTGCATTTAAATTCAAAGGGAATTCCACTTTCGGCAGATCATGTGCAATTTCCTCCAGAACTCAAATTGTTTTACTCACAAGTGTTCCGTTTCTGATTATGCCAAAAAGAAATGGCTGTGTGTGTGCAGTGCATTAGAGGTAAATGCAATTTAGAGCATGTTGCCCATGACACACGAGATTTGCATTCGCTCTTGGCCAACTGGCGAAAGCGTCTGCTCCATTATTGTAAACTATTGCAGAGCGTGTGCTTGATTTTTCTCCAGCTTATCTTCGACGGGGTGCAAATGGAATTTTATATGATTGCAAAACTTTACCTTCCTCACTCCCTCGAAATTAAAGATTTATTTTCACCTACTGAAATGATTTCAAGAGCAGAAAACTCATCCTCGGCTGGGATACAAATGTTTTCATTAAATTCGGTTTGTTTGGTGGTTTCCTTTGTGACCCGCTTTGTTCTCGGTCGCCATTGTGGTGTCCGCAGCTGCCTTCGCCACCACCACCACCGCCACCATCACCACCCATTGCAACCACCCACTGCCACCACCCACTCTTGTTGCCGGGCTGAAACACTAAACAATACAGCAAAATTACTTAATTTCATGTTGGTCTAATCAAGTTGCCATTGCCGTCGAGCAGGTAAGCGACGAGTGTGTGGCTGGCACGGAACGTCCTCTGCACAAAGGTGGCCACCAGGAGCGGAGGCAGCAGCTCCCAGGGAGGAGGGTCCTGGGTGGGAGGGATCTAAGGGGGCAACCGGCTACCATCAAATAATTCGCTGTTGCCGTGCACCATTACAGTGTCTACACTGCGAGAGAATTATTTATTATTTCTATCTAATTAGGATGATAATAAATCCATCATCTTGTTTGCTATTTCGAATACTTTTGATAATCAAATTGTAAATATTATTTGAAGAGTTTTAGTACATCCGACCATTGTATTAAAAATATAACATTTATGGTGCCTTCTTCTGATTAACTAATTTTCTCAGTTCGCTCTAATGACTTTGTGGAGCACAGCGCTCATTTATCTCAGTGTATCTGGTCCGCTCGTGTGTGTGCCACAACGGAACGTTTAGTGGTCCCACTTATGCGGCAGAGCAAAAGGGAGAAAAAAGAAGGCACAGACGTGAAATGGAAAGGCAAAAACAACATGAAATAGGTGGACAGCTAAACGCTGAGAAATGGGGCCAAACGCTAGAAGGCATTCAAGATTTTAGTGGGTCTTTTAGCCAGGCTCATGTTAATTTCAAACTGTGTCAATGTCGGCTTCCGTTTCCTGCACACACACACACACATAAACACACACACAGAAACATAAGCGCGCAGACATGCAGGAACACACACAAAGACAGGACGTAGCCCTTGGCCACTTGAGATGCAAACAGGTAAAAAGGCCACAAATTTAAACATTTGCCTACTCCAACACGCACCGTCGCACCCACACAACCACATACACACAGTCACACCCCCACACTCTCACACATACAAGTGAGTTTATGAAAAGCTGTAAAGGCGGAACGAAACATTGGTAAAACGGTCATCTGCAATGAGGACCATCTGCTGCTGGTTTTGCTACTGCTTGTGCTGCTGGAACAGCGTGAAAGTGGAACAGGACACCCGGCTGCAGGACACCCGCTGACTGTCCGCATTCCAAAAGCAGCAGGACGTGGGCCAGAAGCCAGGGAGCCTGCTCTTGAGGCGCCTGATAAATTGGCAGCGACATTTCAGCCAAAACTTGACAATTAACAGCTGAAATACACGAGCTGTATATGTCTGCTTTGTGTAATTAAAAGCCGGGCAGACAGCCTGGAAATTGCTCGGCTTAAATGCTTTTTTCTAGATCCTGTCGGTTGGTGGTCCGCTCTTGGCCAAGATTGAATGCGCCACCAGAAATTATGCCGCCAAGTGGCGTTCTGCCTTTTATTGCTGCCGCTGCCGCTGTCGCTGCAGCAGCAGCAGCTGTTTCGGCCGACTTCTTTGGGCCAAATTAACTTTAGCCAACTTGAGCTCACAGGCCAGCCTATGTGTCTGTGTATTCGCAAAGCCGCACGTGTGTGTGTGCTTCGGTTTATTGTGTGTGTGCCAAGGCTATGCTAAAAATTTGTTCAAAACATTTGCACATTTTGATTTGTTATGTTGTGGTGCACTGCAAGAAATGCTTTTCTTTGGATGGCTGTCATAAAATATTCTGCTTTATTGATCAGATAGGCGGGAAGGAGTGATCTCGGTTCAAGTTTATTTCACTTCAAGATACGCAAATCAAAACTATTGTAAGATTTGGCAATGATTTCTAAACGAAATAAATATATTCCTTTCAACTTTTTTTATGAGCCAGCTTTCAATATAAAATTTATGTTTGTTAAATTTTGTTTATGATAAAGTTTTCAAGTATATTTTTTGTATTGAATTTAAAATTATACAAAAAGTTCAAATTAAATTAATAGTTGTTATACAATTTTAGGACTTAAACGATTTAATTTAAATTTTGGAAATAAACATTTTGGAATAACCTTATCTACTTTTAGGAACAACTGATTTCATTTTGATTATGCTTAAAACCAAACGATAAAATAATTCGTTTAGTTTTCAAAAGAAATGTAAATACGATTTTTAAAAAGAAGTAAAAACCCTCCCTGAACTTCCGTAAAGCTTTTAGCCTGAACAAAAAAAGGGGTAAATAACAATAAACATTTAATGCTGGCTTAGTTGAACCTAGAGAACAGTTCCAAGTTCTGGCAGTGAGCTAGTAAGCCAAGAGCAAATCCCATAGTGTCCTTTTCGCAGCCCGAGGCGTCGTAACCCCGGCGCTCAACATTGTATGCCGGCCGATAAGAATTTACCATTTAATTACCAAATGTAAAGTGCAGGCTAGAGCCCAGCATGGAGTTTTCTGCGAGTGTCAAATCCCAAAACAAACCCACGAGCAAATATGCCGCATGCTGATGCCGATGACGATGCCTCTGCTTCCGCCTCTGCCGCTCTGCCTCTGTTGCTGCCTCTGCTCGTAGTACCAGTGCACGTGGTGCCCAAAAAGCACACTGCACATATACATACAGTGCATACTACTGCACGCCCTATGCATCACTCACACCACCACAAGCGTAGCGACGTCGACTGCGACGGCGATAAGATAAAAAGCCACCGATGACATAGAGCACCCAGAGCGCCCAACCTCTGTCGACGTCGACAGCGACGCCGGCGCAGAAGGGTAGCGCATATAAAAGCCGCTGGCTCGATGGCAACGAGCATCACAAGACGGCCAACCGCGCTGCCGAGCAGACGAGTCCAGGTTCTAAAGTCCGAAAGAACAGTTAGCAGTTAGCAGTTTGAGAACGGAGCCAGAACCAACGGTAAAGTTACTCCTCGTGTCGCTGTCTGTCTGTGTGTGTGTTGGTTTGCCTGTGCGAGAGTGCAAGTGGAAGTGCACCTGTGTTTGTGTTAAGAGTTTCCGTTACAAGAATAATAATGCCGCAAAATTTTTCGAAAAAAAAGGAACACATTTCGAAAACCGGACAAAAGAACAAGCCAAAAGTAACGAGCACAAGTGGGTGGCTCAAAGAGCTGCTGGCTGAACAGGAACCAGAGCCCCAGTTTTTCTTGAGTGGGCAGATAGTTTGTGAAAGACTTTCTTCTTTCTTTCTTTTTTTTTTTTGGTAGGGGAGAGATTCGGTAGAAAGAGGGGGACGGGGGAACTGTGCGAAAGCGAAACAGAAACAGCCTCTCGACAATTTAACAACTGCAAGAATATTCTTCTTACTTCCCGCACCTTGGGCGGCCATAATGAATTCATTGAAAGCCTGGCCAAAGTTTTCTGGCCAAGCCAAGGAGAAGCAACGAGAGCTCCAAGGATCCTCGTCCTGTCAGTTCGCTAGCTCTTCCTCTTGCTTGGCCAGGCATGCGTCGGTGGCCTTAGGCCGCGCATTGTCTCGGCTCCTTCGTTTGCTCCACCTCTGCGGCTGCAAATTAAATGTAAATTAATGCAAATTACACGAAATTACTGCCAGTCGGACAATGCAACAAAAGGCAACGTGGGCAGCAGATAGTGGACAACGGACAGTGGACAGTGGACAGCGGACGGCGGACAATTCCCGGAGCGCCCATGGGCTGCATCAGCAGATAAAGAGCAAACGAGGTGGCCACTTGCGTTGTCTATTATTTTAAATTGGCTGCGCAAATTTACGGCCGCGCAAAAGTAATTAGCGAGCGCTGGAAACTGTGCCACTCGAATGGCGATTGAAGACGGGTCATCGGGGGATTTTCGATTTGGCCTTAGCTGCTCGGATCAGCAGCAATCCAAGCTGCCAGCGGCATTCGATATATATATATATATATATCTCGTATTTCCCCTGCCCAATTTGCATGCTGATGCAATCGAAATAACAATCATTTGTCCGCACAAATCGACTGGCAAAATCGATCAATCCCATGTGTCGTTGTGTAGCATACTTTTTAGCACTGCTTCACCAACTGTCAACTATCCCCGAAAGCCATGAATTGTCCCGCATTTTATTCTCTAATAATTTATGAGTATTTCCCCTGCCACACCTCCCCATTCTTCTCCAGTGCCTCCTGCCACCTGCTCTTGCCCTTGCCCCGCTGGGGATTTTGCATAATAAACACATGACAGGCCAAACAAAAAAGCATCCAGTTTATGCAAATCAAATTGTGTTGATAAACTGCCAGCAGGGCGTTCTCTAATTTGATTGCCCAATAAATTGCCGAACGAAATCTGCTCGTTCCACTAAAAATGCAATTAAAACATTGATGTCTTCATATTGAAATTTATAACTTCGCTGATGACTATTTATGGCCGGAAAAGGCAGTATAAAAACGCGGAATTTCCGTCATATTTTCTTTATTAGAAACGCATTGCGTTGCGGAGCCAAAAATGAAACAGAAACTCAAACAGAACCCAATTAACGAGCCTTCGGCGGTGTTGGTTAATGTGGCTGCCTCGTGCCACAAAAGCCGACGCAGTTTGCGGCTGGCAGCGCGTGGCTTTTATGCATTGGCGCATGAGTATTGGTAATTAATGGGCGGACGGGGCGACATCGGCATCGACAACAGCAGCGGCAGCGGCAGCGGCATCGGCATCGGCGTAAATGTCCCCGCCACAATGACAAACAAACTGCGGCGGCACACGGCGTATGCGTAATGTGCTTGCCACGCCGAACGAAACGGTAAACGGAGAAACAAATGGCATCGATGAATTCAATTTGCTCGAATATTCAATTATTAATTCCGAGGATAAATACTCGGCACATCAGGCTATTAAACGGCTTTAAACTTCCAGGGCCATTTCCAATTGCCAGCCGTAAGTGGCAGCGAAATGGGATTCCGGTGCACTGGCTTATATTTCATCTGTCAGCAGATTCGTACCCAGGATATTATTTCAATGATAAAAACCAATCATAAAAATATGGTCCCCTTTTCAAAAAGAGTTAAAAGAAGCTGATCTTTTATTAAGAATTAAAAATATAAATCAATTTCAAGCTTTTTTCTTATAACCCACAAATCTAAAATAAAAATGAAGAACTATTTTTATTATTATTGAGCCACAACTTCAAAGAAATAATTCCTTCTTTAGCTTTAAAAAAATGTGCAGTTAAGAAACTTTTATGTTCAACTCGGTCTTAAAGCTTATAAAATTTTACAAATGAATTCGGTACTAAGTTGTTCCTGTATGAAAACCTTATGTTTCCGTGCCCCTGGCTACGTGCTTGTAATTCGGGTTCTTCTGCAAAGGAACTCACGCAATTGCAATCGCAATTGGAAATAAAATAAAAAGAGCGGCAAATTGAATTTCACACTTTTTGTGTACTTTTGCCAGTTGAGATGTGGATTATTTTTTCACACACTTTTTTCATTTCAATTCATGTACGCCCCCTCCGAATTCTGCTGATGTTAATTGACGCGCACGTGGAAAATTAATGAACTGTGACAGTCCGATTTATTCGCATATGTGTGTGCATTAAACGCTAAATGAAGTTGACATCGGCTGCCACATTGTTTGCGACCATCGCAAAATCCCAATTATTAATATATTAATTAAACAAGCCATTTTACCTATCAAAATAATTGTCAAAATTAATTTTTATGGCAGTGGAATGTGTAAATTTAATTAACTTTACCATCGTGGTTTTAAACCGAGTTGGATTTTGTTGAGATTAATGGTTCTGGCGGAAAATGTGAAGGTAGCTATTTAGCTGTTGAAAAAACTTTTACAAAATAATTCCGGATGTGTTTAATAATATAACCTTTGCCATTTTTAATTGCCGTAGTTTGTAGATACTATGGCATTATGATAATCATATTCCACCATTTTATATTGAACAGCTTATTTATTTTAACCCATTTTGTTAATCGAGGCCATTATGCACTCACCTCCACTTTATATTCGCGGAGGCGGTAAAACAATATTGATAATGTCCCTTAACTTCAAGTGGAATTACAATTTTTGCGCCACCCTTTTTCGTGTTTCAGGCAGCCTTGACTGCGAACAAAAACCAACCTTTCCGCCGTAATAATATAACAATATTAGCTTTAGTAAGAGCAAAATTTACCTGCACTTGACCGAAAACCTCTCGCCGTTTTGGATCGGAGCGCCTTATTTCAATTTGCCGCTCAGCAGATATTCAATTGGCAACTCGGAGATATTCCATTTAATTTCATTTCCGAGGCAAACTGCATTTTTTGCCAGAAGGAAGCGCTTCGCTTTTAGCCATCAGCCATCAGACGTTGGCCGGCGGGGCTTTCTTGGCCAACGGTATCCTCGTTGCCGTTGTCATGTTCATTGCATTCCACTTTCCACTTGACATCCTCGCTGCAATTTCCCTCTGTTGTGGAATTATGCTTTTGCTACCTTAGCCGCTTCGAGCCAAGCTCAACAAACGGTTTTTTTCCCCGAAGGGGGAGGGGCATGGGTAGTGGCCGTCCCCCAGAGTAAACTAAGCCAAATATTTGCTCTGTTTATGCGAAAGCCGTTCCGAGACTAAAGAAATGAATGGAATTCCAATTACACGGTGAAGTGGGTCATGAATTTGGGGTTTGATTTTGAAAATCGTAAGTTTCGTTTTGATTTAGTGAATCCTTAATTTTCTTTCGAAAAACAGGCCTTTGTTTAATATCTTATTTCCCAAAAAGCTGCACTTATGAACTTAACGATTTAGCGAGAGGCAATTCGTATTTGTATTTCCTTATGAAGATGTTACCTTATGTTACCTTAAATTTATAGGCTTGTAAAAAATAATAATTTTCAACCTTTAAAAACTTTATTTTTCCAGTTCAAGGGGACTGTATTTTTTAAACCATCTATTATTTCTTGATAAATTTAAATAACATGGTTACCTGCCGAGAAATAACGACAGCAGTGCAGTTAATGCTCATTTTAATGTACACTCTCAATAGAAATTATGTGAAACAACTGCTCCCCTTTTTTTATTTTTCTGCAGGAATAAGCGAAAATAATAAATCATTGCCTACTTAAGCACAGCTTTAAAATGCGATTACGAGTGACTTGAGCTTCATGGGCCGAGCAGCCATAAACTTGGCAAATATGACGCTCTCGTTCGGAGGCAGTTAATGCAAACACGAGGTTTTCAGGCTTTCAGGCTTCAGGTTTTAGCTTTCAGGCTGGCAATGGCCTGGTCGGGTCTTTTGATGTTTCCAGGAGCTGTTTAGTGCGTCTGCTGCCAAGATACATTCCACAATGCGAGCATGCGAGTACGGGTATATAGTTCTGTCTAATTTAGCACATGGCCCTGCAGCCTGCAGTTTGCAGCTGGCTTCTGATTGAAGGTTAAATGAGCCGTGAGCCCCGCAAACACACAACACTAGATCTTTTTGGGGGGCGGGCGAGGGGCGTGGCAGGGCCAAGACTGAGGCAAAGCCATTGCCTGAATTTGTGTCGCTTTTAGCCCGACAGTTGCCCCCCCCCCCCCCCATTTCCCCCCTTTCTTTTTCCTTCTTTCTCTTTCCCCCAGAATGCATTTGCATTGCGCGCAGCTCGTTCACTCTTTTCGCATCCTTAGACAGTCCTGCTTTATTTCCTTTGCCAGAATTAGCTGGCATAAACTAAGCCAGTCAACTAGAGCAAACCCAATCCGTTTTTCCTGCTACTTGCTACTTCCACTGCTGCTGCCGGTTCTTTTCTATTCTTTCGGTTTTGGTTTCGGTTTTGGCCCTCTTCGTTGGATGTTGTTTTTACGAGGCAACCTCCTCCTAATTGAGAGAAAACTTTAAACTTAATCGCAGTCCACTTTTCGGAATACCCTTCAAATTTTCCATTCCATTCACGCAGCCGTTGTAATTGTGTTTTTCGTTGTCATTGCAGTTCCCCATTTCCGCCAGCAACTGTGGAGAGCCAATAAAAGCGCAATAAAGAAAACAGCCAGCGGCGTAGAAACCAAGCGAAAAGAAATAAAACAAACACAATAATGTCGATCTCCGATTTCCGCAAAAAGAAGCTGCTCTTCCTGTTCAATGTGTTCTTCGGTGAGTATTTATCGGAATGATGAATGGCCTGGCGAAAGCGGAGTTGTTAAAAGAAAGCCGCACGAACTGTCTGTCCATTTTAGTGGAAGAGTTATTGCCTCATCTGGGACTCGTTGCTAGAAAACTTTGATTAGATTGCACTCCGAGTGCCTGGAAGTTCTTTAATAGGATTAAAACACACAACGCTGCCGATTGAGATACGGAGTCCCTCGCTTCACATAGTTGAATCGTAGAGCGAATGACAGATATTAGCATGCAGTTTCGCTCTCGGCTTAATCTTCTCCATTCGAGATGTGCAGACATTGCGTATACGTAATGCGGTGCTCCAACATCGCGTATACGTAAGTGCACAAAATCCACTTAAATACGTCGAGTGAATTCCGTTCCATGTTTAATGCACACAAGTGTTTGCTCGTCAGCGAAGACAAACAAAACTTGCCAATTTAAAATTTAATGGAACGCAATGCAAATGCCGAAAGGGAGCAACTTTTCGAGTAGCGAACGCTCTGTGTGCACAAGGTTAAGTGCTTTTCAATTATGACTAATTCACCGGTGCGGCTGGCTCATCCCTGTCACATGCTAACTTGGCTCACTGCCCGCCTTTCGACGGCAGCTGGCCGTTCCATAACAAAAGAGCAGCGCTCCAAAAGCAAAAAAAAAAGGTAATAAAACGCAAGCGCCAAACACTTGACACTGGCACTGAAGTGGCCGTTTGCACACCGTTGCAAATGATAATGGAGCGCCCGCATGGCCAAAAGCCAAATGCAGGGGCTGTCCCACAAAAGGCACTCGAAGAAATGTCAACCCCAAACTCCACTTGAGTTCTTTTTAGGGTTTCTTTTACTGAAACTCTTGGAGGGTTTATGAACTAGGGAGTAGTTTTCTAAGTGCGGAACCATTCTGCACAAGTTAAAAATGTGAAAAAATAGCAAAACGCTCAAGCATTGCTTATTAAAACACCTACCTTAAATAAGTAAAAAATAATGAAATTATTTTACTGAAACTCATGGAGAGTAAAATAATGAATAACAACATTTATTGACTTTTCTTTTGGTAAACTGTAATATTTTTCTTCCATATTTTTCTATATCAAATTTTAATTAATTTGAAGTCTGAACTTTTATTTAACAAAGTTGATAGCTAGGAAATTGTATTTTATACATTTTATTTTATTCTGATCTGAAGAACCAAATCAATATAGGCAATTTAATATTGTTATATTTTCAAGAACCATAGTTTGTTATATTCAAAAGATTTCCAAAAACTTTCTACAGGTTCATAGAATTTGAATAGTTTAGCAATGAATTTAGTTACTTTCTGGATGAATTATTCTCCAAGTGTCGAAGGGATTTTCAAGTGTTGATGGGTGACAGTTGGGCCGTGCAATTCCGCTGATGTTTGCACCACCGCCGACCGGAATCGTGTCGCAGCCTGCCGAAAAATCCGTACATTGTTCATTGCTCTATTCGCTGTTCTTTTTTTTTCGTTTTTGTTTTTATCTTTTTGGCTGCTTTCCGTCTCGATGTTTGGGTTGTGGCCCCAACCGACCGACTGCAACCGACAATGCAAACATTGCGAGACAACAACATGCAATTCACGCCGACTGCCCCCGAAAATAACAACCATGCCGCATAATGCGTGCCGCAACAGATGTGAACCAAAGCGGCGAAATCGACGTTAAGGACTTCGAGCTGGCCATCGAGGTAAGTGGAGCGGAAATCCAGCTGGCAAAAAATCAAAAGCAAGCTCAAATTTGAATATATACTTTTTTTGCGAGGAGTGCATGCAAGAAGTGCTGCCAACTGCCAACTGGCAAGTAAATCAACAACAAGAGCACTGCAAATGTTTTTCAGTCTATTGTTTTTTGGGGCGATTTGCATGCAGTTTTTATTTAGGGAGCAACTGATAACTCAATTTGCTTGTGCCGTGCTGACTGTTATTGTTTTCTGCCAATTGCAGCGCGTCTGCCAACTGCGCGGCTGGCAGAAGGACACGCCGAAGAACAAGGAGACGTACGACCTGATGATGGAAATCTGGACTGGCCTGCGCTCGAAGGCCGACAAGGACAACGACGGACAGGTGAGCGAGCTCCACTTTGCCACTTTGCGACGCCACGCCAGCCATGCCACGCCGAGTTGCAAAGCCAACTACTGACTACCGACTACATGTCGAGTGATTCGGGTTTTTGTGCGGCTCCATTGTCAGTGCCAAAAGTGCTGAAATCCATGGACTGCACTCGATGCCATTGTGGCAGCAGCTGACAAGTGTGCAGGACACCCCGGACACACACCTACACACATATACAGACAGGCAGGAAGGCAGGCAGGGAAGGTCCTTCGGTGGCACAGACAAACGCAAAAAACGGAAGAGAAATTTCGTTCATAAATTTCCCTTTTTATTGGTGCGGAATGCCGAGAGAGGGCTAAACAAATTCCCTGCCAGCGGGCGGAAATTGAATTGTGAATTATTCGAGCAGTGCAGCCAGTGAATTCCGGCCGGGGACTTCTGCCACCAAACTTTCTTCTTCTCATTACAAAGACCAACTTTTCTCCCTGACTGCAGATCTGCAGGTTTGCACTACCGCCCCCCCTTCCGTTTTTGCCACATCGCTGGCAGTGCAGCAAATTAAATTATAATCCCAACCCCGGCACATAGTTCAATATCAACAAAACGGCGGCCAAAACCCGCAACAATGCGATACAAAGCGAACAGAAATTGAAATGTCAGACCGACAAAACCTCGGCTTAATTCTATTGGCGCATTCCAAGGGTTACGGGCTTACGGATTACGGCTTTACTGGTTTACGGGTTACGGGTTACGGGTTCTGGGGTACTTTGTGCGCAACTAAACTTCGGTCGTACCTCCGAAGCCACAAAGCCACAAAAGTTCTGGCCAACGGCCAAGGAACTTGATGGAGTTTGCTGCCAAAATATGCCAAATCGCCGCCATTGTTGTTCCGCCTTTTGTGGCATTTGCTGCTCGAGATTTATTGTTCGACTCGGAGTCGGAGTCGAAGCACGTGCCATGACACGGTTTCAAATTGGCCGGAAGAAAATACGACTGCAGTTCGTTAGACTACGCATTTCTTAGTTTTTTTGGGCAGCGGCACAGGGTCAAGGATCTGGGGCAAGTCAATTCAGTCTGCGGCCATAAACATAAAAATATGCAGTCGGTTCGAATTGCTGTTTAGAGCTATCTGCCTGCGGCGGGGTGAACTGCCAATTGGCAGTACAAGTGGGTCCTGACCAGACACACATCCTACACACACACACACACTTATTTATGACCGTATTAAAACATGCCAAAACCTAACGGCTGGCCACAATTAATGGGTGGGGGTGCTGGCCGGTACTTGGCTGGGCCAACTTGGTCAAGGCGATGTTGCGGTAATTGCCCTGTTCGGTTTAGGCGGCCAGAAAATGTTAATATCGCATCGCTGGCTGGCATAAATTACACGCCCCCCAAAAAAAAACAAACAGCCATCAGGGGGGCGGATTTTATGGGGATTCTCCGCCGGAGGCGCTATCTAATGTCTAATGGTGCTTTCAGCACGGGGCGGCGGAGGATGCATAAATCTGGGCTAATCCTTGTCCCAATCTCGTCGCTCAATACCTTTATGGCTCTTGCAGGTCAGCGTGGACGAGTGGTGCAACATGTGGGACGCGTACGCGAAGGATCCCAGCAGCGTGATGGACTGGCAGAACGCCTACATGAACTTCATGTTCGATTTGGAGGACGCCTCCCATGACGGCGGCATCGACGTGGCCGAGTTCACGCTGGTCTGCTCCAGCTACGGTTTGGAGAAGACAGAGTGCGAGGAGGCGTTCGGCAAGATGGCCCAGGGACAGAGCGAGGTCACCCGGGAGCAGTTCGCCGCCTTGTGGAAGGAGTACTTCGCCGCCGAGGATGTGAACGCGCCGGGCAACTTCATCTTCGGCAAGACCAGCTTCTAAAATCCAGCCATGAGCTCCGAACACTGGCCATACTGAATGCAAATGCAAATGCAATTGCAAATGCAACAAGTGAAATTATTATTAAAAAACTACTATACTGAATATATATTATCGATGCGGAAGGGGAGGAGGGATCGCGATCCTCCCGATTTTGATGCTCCGTCGTTGTTAGTTGAGTGTTGTTTTCTCTCCAAGAATCTCAAGTTTTGCCCAATTCAATGTTCTAATTTAGTAGCGTAATCTGTCTGTAACCTATTTATACTTTATATACCAAGGCTTCGAGTTACTTGCCGGAGTGCTGGAGTATCTCTACACATACATACATACTCTATATATGCATGCATATATGCAAAAGTGTACCTTTACGAACTACGACTATATCGAGAAATGATATCAATTACGAGGCCGGATCCCCACAGATCCGTATCACTGTGGTGCGTAAATTAAATCAATTAAACTGTCAAATTGTTATGTGTGTGTAGTCGTCGTTTATCGTCTCGCAACTATGGCGTATAAATTTAAATGTAAATGTAAAGTGTTCCAGAAATTACAATAATAAAATCAAAGTATCTACACGAATCTCGTCCTTCACTTGTTGCTGGCTTCTCTGGCTTCGAATTGCACTGGCTTTAATGGGTTTGGTGAGTGTAGGTGTGGTGCAGGCGAAAACAGCAGACAAGTGCGATATAATCGTAATCAATGTGTGCCCGGCAATTTATGAAAATTAAGGATAAAGTTCCTCTGGCCGGTTAGAGTCTAGAAAGCTCTGCAGCGCTTAGAACCTTTTAATTTATGCCCCCGCATGAAGGCAGCACTCAATTAGAGCAAGCCCTAATAATGTTGTCTAATGGAAATGCAGAAAAAATATTACAAAATGTTTGAGCTCATTTCTTCAACATTTTAAATGAAAAGGTGGGTATATGTTAGTGAGCTGTAAATGAAGCCAACCCATAGTTTATGGGCGAAATTAAAATAGATCATATGACCGAAAAAATTTAAAGGTTTCTTTTTTCAAGTACAAACGTACTAGTTAAGTCCCAATGCTTTGGTGTAGATTAAGAACTACAGGATTTCACCGAGCGCCATTAATTTTATTATTAATATTTATATTAATAAAACCTTATAAAAATATTAATAACCATAATATAAAAAACCCAAAAACCCTGGGAGAATAGTCATGGCAAAAAACCCCAAATGTATGTAGTTTTGTTACGTTTCCTACATTTAAAGCCTCAGCCATACAGTGGCGGCATCTAGCTTTGAAACAGAAAAATAGATCCAAGTCTGTTTTTACATTCTACATAGAGGTGGTCCAAGAAAGGTTGTTCACACTTTAGACTGTTGATGCCGAGACATCTATTTAAAATAGAACAAATAATGAATCCAAATATTAGGTAAAAGATTACATTTAATACCAAAATAAAATTAAATAATATAAAACCCCATGAATTTATATGCAGCTAACCAATTGCTGTTCGAAGTTAAGCAGCGGTGTGAACTTCTTATCATGTGGCATCACTTGTGGTTTGTACAATGTGGCATGGCAAAACAGCTGTTCATCTTCTTCCTAACCGGCATTTGCTGCATTTTGAACAAACAATATATATTTTATCTGTTTTATAAAACATGAGCAATATTGTGCAGTACATTATTGTGCGGAGTGATTTGCGGTCGGCGCTTAGTTGGCCTATGGGCGCCGTTATCGCCCAGTGTTGCCATGCCACATCAGCCGTTAATCATTTAAATTCAGACGATGCGGATACCATGGCCTACTTGAAGGACTTGGACAATATGCACAAAGTAGTGCTAGAGGTAAATAAATTTGTTAAACAGTTTAAGTTAAACTCAGTATTTCTTAAATGTGGAAATATTAATGTGTAGAATCTCATAAACTATATTTCTCCTATATTTCCTATATTTCCAGGCAAAAGATGAGGCAGCTCTAGTAAAACTTGGCGAAAAGTTGAAGGAGAATGAGATTAAACACAAGCTGTGGATCGAACAACCAGAAAATATTCCGACATGCATTGCCTTGAAACCGTATGTCAAAGATACGGTTCATAAATACGTTAAACATTTCAAGCTTTTGAAGGAGTAATAAACACGAAAGGTTGCGCATAAGATTCCTTGGTAATTCAATAACGATTCCCATACTTTCTCATTCAGAAATGTTTTCCAGCGGAAGTAAAACTATAATAAATAGTCTACTACTTGAAGCATGGGCTTCTCCACCTTGAGGATATCGAACAGCTCTCCTGTAATAAGGGGACACCACCGGACGTTCAGCCGACGAAGTCTGCTGAGCGAATTGGTCAACTGGACGGTGATCTGGTTCGAGAGATTTCGTGAACCGGTCAAATCCAGAAATTCCAAAGCGCCAAGGCTTCGCAGTCCTTTCAGCTTATTTGCCGCAAAGTCCTGATGGCATAAAATCAGAGTGCGTAGTTGCTTCATCCGGCAAATGATCTCGAGGCCAGAGGTACTCAAGAAACCTTTTCCTGCCATCGGGAGCTGGAGATGCCGCAACGAAGCCACTTCAACGAGGGCCGAGAGCAGCAAGTTGTTCACCTGGTAGGGTGACGACTCCAGCTCCAAGGGTCCAAGGAGCAGGGTGTGCAGGTGGGGGAAGCGGCCAATCTGCGGTTCGTCCAAGTACGGACACACGGTCACCTCAAGCACCTCGATCGCAGGGCACCTCTCCACCAAATGTTGATAGACAAAGGAATTTGTGAGCAACCGCACCCGGTCACGCATGTCCATCCACTCACGGTTAAAATTGGTTGTACAAATTCGCTGGCAGCGCAGTTCGCGAAGCAGGGGAAGCCTTTTTATAGTGCTAAATCGCTGGGCCTTAAGGTTCTGGCAATCGGAAACATTCAACTTCTCCAGCGAAAAGGGCAGATATCGCAAAAATAATCCCCGAAGACCCTGATTCTGCTGCACGTCCAGATTCTTTAGCGTGCTGAGATATTTTAAGTTTATCAGATATTTATCTCTGAGATTGCATTCGCACAGCGTAAGATCGGTAATGTGCTGCGAACTATTGTACAGCAGCAAATGTATTCTGCTGGCAGTGAGCCTCGGGTCACTTAAACTAAGCTCTCTTAAGTTGGGACAGCTAAAGCGCAGCCATTTAACAAAATACTTCAGATACGGCCAGTCCTTTGGAGGTCCATCTTCCAAACGGTGAATGTGTTCACCCGAGAGGCGCATCAATCGCCTTAATCCCAATTTCGTCAGTTTGCCGACTTCCCACATATCGAGTACCCGACTCTTTTGTTTCCACGCTTGTTCGTAGATCGCATGGAATTTTCGACAGCTTGCGGAAAAGGCGAGACAATCTTTCAGGGGCAAGTAGTCGATCACCTTGCGCCAAATGTCGTCGACCAGCGGCAGGTCGTATGCACTCACGGAGCCCGGAGCGTCCTCCTCCTCTGGTTGCTCCCAGGTATTGCTGGCCCACAAGTACAACTTGTAATCATTGTGGCTTAACGACCAGCTGCACAAAGTCTTAGACGCGTCTGTGGCGTCTTTAAACAGCACCGATCCCACTAGCATACGCTCATCCCATTGCACCTCTTCGACCTTCATCGTTCCGTCTCTGGAAAAGTGATCCCAAACATCCCGAGTGGACAGGCTCGTGAAGGCCAAGACCTTCAGCCGTCTCACCACTGCGCGATCCTCGGTGTATGCCAAGTTATTTACAAAGTAAAAGTTCCTCCAACGGAGGCATCGAGTGTGGGACATCATTTTTAACTCTTAATTGTTATTAACGACAGTTGTAAAAATATTACAAAATTTTAAAAAATTATACTTGGTAAAGTTCTGTAGGTGTGATCGGCTTGCTCGTGTCGCCTGTTCTGATTTAAGTCCCAGATTTTCGGAGTTTGAGAGTTTGTTTTCCTCGAATGCTTTGTATCGAAGTAAAACAAAATATAAATAAAATAAATCTACCGGCGAGGTGTGATTGAATATAACCATAATAATTATTTTCCCATTAATCATTTGAATCTAAAATAAAACACAGATTCTAGTTGTTGTCGAGTTTTATTTTCTGAGATTTGTTTTTAAATAATGTTTTCTTGTAAAAAATAGCTGGGTTCTTGCTTATGGCATTCGAAAGTGCTGCAAAAGTACCTGCAGTAGATACAATTATATAGAAGTAGATAGAGTAGACCTATAAATAGAGGTTGCGACATCGGGAAGGCGCAACCTGTCGCAATTTGGCACAGATGCAGATACAGATACAGGATATACAGTGTTTATGATAGGGTGGTTCTATGCGATGTGTGTAGTAGCTATAGTGCTGTTCGATTTCTAAATTTAACAATAACAAGTTACTTAAACTAAAACCGAAGCGCTTGGGTTCGTCTGGATATTGCGGGACCACGCCCACGCTGCGGCCGCTGAGGGGGGCGTTTGGCAATTAGTGTTTCGAGCGCGGATGCTGCAGCGCATTAAGCTCGTCCTTGAGCCAGGCCTGCCAGTTTTCCTGCGAGGGGCGAGACAGAAGTTCAGCCGGAAACGGCCGGAGTTGGATGAGAAAGTTCGGGGGACAGAAACAGACAGAAAGCCAGGACCCGTCACCAACAATAAGCTAAGCTAAGCCAGTGTGTGTGTGTGTGTAGTAGCCAAAGGATACTCGTGTGCGTGTGCGTGACAAAGAGAGAGAGAGAGAGAGAGGGAGAGAGACTGAGATAGGGAGTGGGTTAGGGACAGAGATAGAGTATGCTAATAGCATCTACTTTGCAGAACCGTTAGCAGCAGTAGCAGCAGCAGCCACTTGGCATTTGTTAGCGCTAATTGCAAATGTCAACAGAGCGAAACAGAGCCAGGATTCGCAGCGGAAATCGGAAATGCTTAACTAGTCGCCCGTCTCTGTGTGCGTGTTGGTGTGCCTGTGCCAGTGTGTGCGTGTGCGAGTGGGTGTGCCTGCATGACTGGTTGTGGGTGGGGTGGACTGTGGGTGGTTGGATGGTTTGGAGGTTCAGAGAGGAGTGGAAGGTTCTTAGGGTCTCGCATCCTTGGTGCGCCCGTTGTTCGCCATTTGCTGGGCTGGCTGTCGACTGCCGGCTTCCTTTTCACTCATTGTTATGCAAATTATCCTGATATTCATCATATTCGTTTTCATTATCCTCCGCCTGCTCGTCCTCCTCCTCCTCCTCCTGCTCGTAATCGCTGGCGTTGCTTTCCGACTGCGTTACATCGGGCAAATAATCCTTGTGCACGGGCGTCGAGATGATTGGCTCCTGTGTTAGGTGTTCGTGTGTTCGTAAGTGTGCGAGTGCGTTGGCCAGTGTGTTAGTGTTAGTGTTTTGGTGTGGGTGTGAGTGTGTGTGTGCAAAAGCAAAAGTTAGTTAACCAAGTTGGACAACAACAAGATACTACCAAGTAGAGTGGCGCATGCAAAGTACCAACGATCAACTTTCCGACGGCCAAAAGGGGAAGGCACACATAAAAAACCAGCTGGTAGGTCAACCATATAAGTCAAATCATTTTACAACTTTAAAGCGTAGCCAGTCCCCTTTAAAAAGTGCCTAAAGGGGAGTGTTATTTACAACATTGAGCCAAGAAATTTAAAAAAAATGTAGGTATTTTCAAAATATTTTTAGAAACCCTATTAGTGTTCAATATACAATTAAACTGCGCTGAAAATATTTTGAAGGCATCTAACATTATTATCCTTCTTTCGAGCCTTTTAGAATGTATTTAATATATTGTCAAAGTTAAATATTTATTATATAAGTTTTTATTTCTTTTAAATAGTGTAAACAGTTCATGCTTACTTTTCGGCTTCAGTAAAATAATATCTAAGCAAGAAAGGAATATACTACAAGAAAGGATACAATTTACATGTTTTTAAACTCGGTTGACCCTCTTTGCACCTTATTTTTTTCTGTGTGGTTGCCAGGAAGTAACGGGAATAGGGGGTTTGGGAGGTGGGTGGCCTTTAGTCGGTACGAATAACGCATGCTAACCTTTGGCGGCCGCCATCCGCAGCCGGGCAGCGGCAGCCCGTCGGCGCCGAGGGGGCAGGGGGCGTCCAGTCCGGGCACGCCCTGCTCGCCCTTGTCGCCGCGATCTCCTTTGCGTCCCCGCTTGCCGGGCGGACCGGCGTCCCCTCTGGAGCCCTGCTCCCCGCGCGGCCCCTCCTGCCCGGGAATGCCATCCGTGCCCTTCGTTCCGGGCGGTCAATTGTCCGCAGGGGTGTTCGTTGGGTGTTCAGGGGGTAGGTGAGTGTGAGGTGAGAGGTCAGAGGTCAAAGATGGGGGAGGTGTGCATAAAGGTAGTGAACGAAGAGATACGCATGCAAACAATAAGAAGGAGAAAGAGAGAGAAGACACGAATTATTTACGATTAGCACCACATGGAGTAGAAGAGCTTTTCTACGGAATTATCCTTGGGGATGCTGCACATGCTTACCGGCAGGCCAGGATCTCCGCGCTCCCCCTTGTGTCCTGTTTCGCCCTGGGCGCCCTGCGGGAAAACGGAGAAAACAGATCGGTTATTACCATATTGTTTTCACATCAGCAATTGTTTTTTCGGGGGAAAGTACCTTCATGCCATCCAAGCCCGGAGGACCCTGCAGGGAAATGGAAGAGAAACAAGAGAGTGGAAAAGCGTGTGGTTAGCAGAGCGGCTGGAAATGGAAAACCTGCCTCGCAAATGAGTATTTGGTGTCCTGCGGACCTTGGTTTTGTTTGTTTGTTTAGTAAAAAACCATCACTTTATTGGAAATGCATAATTAATTCGAAAATTATGTTAGTTTCATTTAGCCATTTTACAATTCGGTCATTCTGTCGAATGTTTGTCGTTTCAATTCGCACATGCTACGGCAAATAATTACCAGAACTCACATTCTTTTTTTATTTTATTCGAATTATACATTTAAAATGCAGCAGCACGGATAAAAATATTGTATTTCGTGTTTGTGATGGCATAATGCACTTGCACATCCACATTCGGTATATGCATGTATATAGACATAAATACACGTAAATATATATTTATATATATATTTGTATATTTGTTTTTTTCGTTTGCAAACTCTTCTTGTTTATTGGGTAATTAACAAATTTACACTTACAATTATTGTTAGCGGCTTATTAGGGGCTTAACCTTTTTTTTTAATGTTATTTATAGGTTAATGTTAGGTTTCAATCGCGAAAACACAATTCATTATTCTAGCCTATGGATCGAGAGAGTCGAGTTCGTAGTTAGCAAGTGAAGGAATCTAGAGAGTTAAGAGTGAGTATATAGAGCGCTAGATGCAAGTAAACACGTTGAGAGGTCGAAAACAGCTAGAAAATTAATAATTAATTACGATTAAGTTGCGTTATTTGCGGTAGCGTATGTACACTTTGTTGGGTGTGTTTGACATTTAGAGGATTAAATGAAAATTGACATGCAAATTGCCTGTGTATTCTGTTTTCCATTTGGGGATTATTACAACAACGAGACACATCTAATTGAAAACAAATTGACATATTCTTTCTGATTTTCGATGCCGTTTGCTTTTCGAGAGTAAACCTTAAAGCTGCAAACATTTCCATTTCCCATTTGCATATTCAATAATTCCCATTCAATTTTTATGGGTCTTGCTGTCGATGCGAAAATACGCTGGGCTGAGGCTGTCAAACGGCAGTATATACTTTTATTATCATATTTCCATGGCATTATTTCATTTGCATTGATTATGTTTGCTTTTCGGCCCGTTTTATGCGTCCTTTGCCTAGTTTGGCCGTTGGAATTGAAAATGCAGCAAATGCTCGTAAACGTTAATTTTTATGCTTTCATTTTTCTTCTTGTATAAATAGAATTGTTTGCGTTACTTTGTTTGAGATGTCCATGAAACCAATAGGATACATACTCGTGGTAAGATTATGTATTTATTGTTGATATTTCGCATTCGCAGGGGAGTTAGTTCTCCACTTTCGTTGCCAAGCTTGTTTTGAATTGGAAAGCATGACTTCTTTTCGACTATGGAGTTTAACTTTAGCCTAACTAGATTCTGCGCTTTTTTTTTGTTGATTTATTGAAGTTTTATTAACACTGAAAAATATGCACAATTGGGTTGGATAGCTCTTCGTTATGTATTGTATGTATAAATCTCTTTAATATGTCTTGTGTGTAAGTAAACAATATCTATAACTTGTAGACATTATTGCTCTAGGCATTTGTGAACATCGAGAGAGATCTGGTTGAAAATATCTTACAATTTGCTGTTTGATTAGCACAATCCCTTATTAAAACACACATTTATTAGATATTTGCTCTCAGCTTTGTGTTTTACATTGAAGCTTCGGCGATAATGCTTTGTGTGAACGAGTATTATTCGAATATTCAGACAAAAGCCCATGGACGGCACCTAAGACAATGCAGGATGCAGCAGGAGCAGAAGATCCAGATTCCGATTCCGATTCAGATTCAGATTCAATTGTTAAGAATAATTTAATTACGCAAGTAATTAAACCACTTAAAGCCAATTGCCGATTGATTGCGACCTGGTTTCGGCATAATCCAGCAATTAGTGCTTCTCACTCGGGCAAACACTTGAGATTGAAGGGAAATCGCACTCATCGCTGGCTGTTTTCACGTACCACGGTGCGTATGATTTATGCACTTTCAAGAGGCTTTTCTGCTCCTGCTGCGGCAACGAATGAAATGCAATTAAAATATTTGCATTGCATATTTGTTAGTTGGTTTGCTGTGCGGGTGTTTGATGTGTGTGTGTGGGTGTGGGTATATGGGTGTGTGGGTGGATGGGTGCAGGTGTGGTTGTGTGGGTTCAAAGTGTGTTAGTCGATTCGATTCGATTCGATTGATTGATGTTTGTAAATACGGTCTGTGGACACACGTTTGTTTGCGCTATTTGCTTGTATACATAAATACTTATTTGACTCTTGGGGCATTTTAAATGATATGAATATTAATTTTTTCTCATGCGGGTGGAGGGTTTTTCGCAATTCGCATTTCGCATTTCGCATTTCGCTTCCTTGGCTCGTGCAACTAATTGATTTGCTTACTCGCCACTGACATGCTGCTATTTTGATTTTCGATTTAATTTTCTGTACATGGGTGCGTGTTTGTACAAATTGATATACATATACACTGATACGCCTGCCATATACACATTTAAATATATATAAATATATATATAGACGATAACTGAGCACATTTGACAAGCGTTGCGCGGCTTTGTAACTTTGAACATTGTTTTGCTTTGATTAAATTGGTTTTCCCTTCCTCATATGTTTTTCATTAGGACTTTCTGTTTGAGTGTTTGTGTGTGTATTGGTGTGTTGGTGTAAGTGTGCGTGGGTTTTGGATGGTTTTTTTTTATTTTAAGTCGCATTTCACTGAGACTTTGGCGCAATGTGTGCTGGTTATTATTTAATAGAGACTGCCTTTTAACTAGTATTAGTAGTCGCCCCACACCTGTTGCAAGTAGAAAAAAAAGAAGAGAGATGAGAACACACAATTCGGTTAGTCAAACGTTTAGTAACGAGATCCACGAAAACGAAAGTAACGAAAGCCAGGAGGGTTATCAACTATCTAAGCGGGATAATAACTCAAATTTTGTGTGGTAACAAATTAAAAAGCCAAACAGTAACAACAGTGAGTGGGTTTGCCGAAGTTCAATTGAAATTTACCGGTATGCCAGCCTTTCCCGAGGGTCCTGAAGGTCCTGACTCGCCCCTCATGCCCATTGGACCCTGCAATTACATTCCATTGTAATTATTTGGCCAAACTTTTGGCTATTTCGCCACTTACCGGCAGACCCATGGGTCCCTGATCTCCCTTGTGGCCCTTTTCACCCTGCGAATGGAACAGATTTAGAGCAGGATATCCAAGGATATTAGTTGGCGTGTGGCCTTCGGACTCTTACCTGATCCCCCTTGCGACCGTCCATGCCGCGCTCCCCCTGCAAGCCGGTGTGTCCTGGCGGACCCATGGGTCCCGGCGGTCCTGGCGGGCCGTACAACTGCGAAGGAAATCACATCAGTTAAGATTAATCCTCGGGGTGGTGGCTCAAAAAGGCAGTGGCTTACGTATTCGATGGTGGGCATGTGCGGAGCGTCGGACATCCCGTCATCCTGGCGACGACGCATCTTGCGGTACTGCAAAAGGGAAAGGGGATTATTTATGCCTGAGATAGGGTTTAATTTGTGGTGTAGGTTTATAGAAGTCAGCCATTAAAAATCAATGGTTATAGTCATTGAGATAAATATTAAAGTGTAAGGGGAGTTTAAGTTAAAGGGTCTTAAAAAATACATCTACTTTGTTTGTTTTATTTTATTAAAGAGATTTCATAATATTATAGGAAATATAATAATTTTTACACGAATTTAAGTAATCAGAAAATAAAGAATTTATAGAAAAAGTAAAAGAAAAATATAAAAAACTTATTATATATGCAAATAACTATATTAAGTAACCGTGTTCTGAAGTAAATATCATAAGCTTATAGGGAGTTCACTTACCGAATCACCCCGATCGCCCTTGTCTCCCTTAACGCCAGGATAGCCTGGAGGTCCTGGCAAGCCGGGAGGACCCATAAGTCCGGGTGGTCCGATATCGCCGCGATCGCCCTTCTCGCCCGGCGGACCCTGGTATCCCGGCAAGCCGGGAGGTCCTTCGATGCCCGGCTCCCCGGGCAGGCCGTCCAGTCCTCGCGGACCCAAGGATCCCGGTTCTCCCGGCTCTCCGGCGTCGCCTTTGGCGCCATCCCGACCGTCGCGTCCATCCTTGCCGGCGATGCCAGGCGGTCCTGGAGGTCCTCGCAAAAGGGTCACCGGTGGATCGTCGTAATCCTCGTCGATTTTGGTGCCGCCGGGTCCGAATATCTGCTCGAATTATCGAATAACGAGTACGAGCAAGGGTTGCGGGTTGCGGATTGCGGGTTTTTTTTGGGGGAAAAGAGAAGAGATGGCAAATTTAGTGGGAAGATTAATTTATGCCACGTGGCAGCGCCAAAGGCGTTGCACGCGCTCGTTCCACACGCTTTGATGGGGAAAACAAAAGCGGCGCGTAATTCCAAAGCCAAGGAAAAAAGTTCGCCCACAAGGAGGAGGGTTACATACATATATACCTATATATATATATATTTTTTTTTTTTGGGGTAGGATGGTGCGGCGTATTCTGGCGGTTGTGCCGCAGCGAAAGTCTTTTGTGTGCCACGAAATTGTGTTAAGTGCAAGTTGGAGCATCCATGCCATCGCACCACCCACTTTTCAGACAATGGCCTCATAGAAAATCTTTAAACCCCTCGTGGAGCTCTTGTGGATGTGAAGGGGGGTGAGGGGGAGGTTGAGGGGGTGGGGGTTATAGGAATGGCAGTACGAGGTGCAGGAGTCGAAAATAAAGTCAAGTCAGCGACAGCGACTTTTCTACGTGCTTCGAGTGCCTGTGTGTGCGAGTGTGTGTGTGTCTGTGTGTGAGTGAGTGCCCCCGTTCGAGTGTGTGGGTGCTCTTTGGCTCCTGCCATTCTGTGTGTGTGTGTGTGTAAGTGAGTGCATTGCGAAAGACAATTAATTGTTTTTTTGGCCGTGTTTTTTGGTGGGTTAATGTGCACGCTTCGAGGCAAATTTCCCAAGCACCACCCCAAACCACATAAAGTCCAAAAGTTTCAATGGAGCTTAAGTGAGCACACATACACACACACACACACGTGCACTGCCCAAGGAAAAGCCATCTCAAATCAATGCTTTAAATAGGGTTTAAGCTTGTGGGATTTTAAATTGACCAAATGCTGCATTTATGGCTTTCTAGCAAAAAATGGGTTGCATAAATAAATTGAAGATTTCTTAAAGATATCAATTGGAATCCTTTCTTTCTTTAAAATTTATATTGGTAATATTTTCCATAAAATAAGACACTAATCTTACTAGCTTGACATGACTAACAAAAAGGTTTTAGTTTGAAATCGGCTTACCACTTTCAGGCTTTTCATTCTTTATATAATATACATTATAAAGTACCATTTCTTTTCCAGTGCATTGCGGCTGACGGGAAATTACCGAAAGTTTTTGGGGGCGGGGCTGGGGCGGTGTCGTTCAGACCGCAATGCACCCAAACAAAAACCTCTATTAGGCAAATGCTGAGCGACATAAAAGGCAACTCCGGCAAGAACAACGAGTGCAGCGGAATACGTTAAGGAGCCATGGAAAATGGCTCAAATAAAGGCGAATAGGGAAAGCCATTTACACATGTGGCTCAAGCAAATAGAGACACTCGACGTTCGTTCGCTGGAATATTCAGTCGCATTTGCCATTTAAATCGAGTGGGGAATAAAATGGGCCTCAGCTCGGCTTTAAAGGGGAGTCCTTTGAAGGATAAAGTTCCCCAAGCAGAGCTCAGGATATCTGATTGAATGTATCCGTTTAGTCCTTTGATTATGCATTGCACATATGCATTACCTTTAACAGTTTACCTCTTTCCGGGCATTACGCAATTGATCCTGTATTTGTATCTGTGTCTGTATCTGTATCTGCATCTGTATCTGCATGTGTGTGTGCCTGCGAAAGTGTAATTTCCTTGCGGCATGCCCGGGCATGTGCAACAATTACATTTTCTTCTGTCACAGGAAGTGGCGTACTTACAGTTATTAAAACCCGGCAACAACAGCAACCAAATAGCGAGGAGGCACAACAATGTAAGCGCTTAACGCACACTTATACGGACAGGATGTGGCTTGCCATATGCACAAGTTCTTCGTCCTGCGAAATGGCGACAGACAAAAGGACGAGGCGGCAAAAGACAACCGAAGGAAGGGTGGAAAAGGGGGAGGGGGAGGGGAAAAGCGGAGGAGGAACAGAAGCATAAGTCCTTGCCTCACCACAAATGCACTTCCCAATTTCAACTTTTTCCCTCTTGGCATTTTCTTTTCGCCCGAAGAGCTCATCTGCATGTGGCTCCTGAGCAGGTGTGTTCCTTTGGGTATGTGTGTGTGTTAGTTAGTGTGCGAGTGTGTGTGTGTGTGTGGAAGGATACCTGCTGCTGCTACTGCTGCTGCTGCTGCATCAGTTGGCGCTTTGTTAGCAACTTTTGCACATTGTTCCTAATGCGGAATGGGAAATTCGCTTGGGCTTCCGCCTTTTTGCCTTGGCCATTTGTAGAGCAATTAAAGCGATTTGAATTTAAGCCGAGTGCTTAACGTTTGCCTTCTGCCGTAATTAAGGGACACTTTGAGGGCTTACGTGCCCACAGTTTTCCCGATCGCAAAACCCCTTGGAAAAAACGACTGTGGCGGCAGCAAAAACGCCAGTTGCCAAAGAATAAAGTCGGGCAGAGCAGAGAGGGTTTAAAGGCTTTAAAGGCCAACTGCAGATGCGATAAATAACATAAATAAAAGATTCAGATACAGATACAGATATACAGATACAGATACAGATATAGAGATACAGCTGCTGAGAGCGGCAAGTGAATTGGGTAAATGTTTGTGGGGCTCGCAAGGACGATTGTTGGCGCAGCTGTCTAACTACGATAAAAAAACACTGCCTTTTCGGCAGCCCAAAAACCAATCGGCTTGTGGGGGCGTTGGTGTGTGTGTGAGTGTGCGTGAAAGTGTGCATGTATGTGTGTGCTTCCAAGGAAATCCATTAGAATGTATCAATATTTGTGCGAGTGAGCGCCTCGGGTTGAATTTAATTTTCAAAGTATCCAAACACAATCACACGAATGGGAGGGTCCTCTTAAATTATGCGTAAATATTAAAAATATTTGCTCAAACGCCTTTCAATTTAACGCACAACTGACGATCCAAATGAATTCCATTCCCTTTTTTTGTCACAGCCAACGCACCTTTTTTTGTGCACACTTTAGTTTGTCAATTGTAAATTGTAATTGTAAATTAATTGCCCCAACCGAATGTCAGTCTGTCGCTCCGTCCGGATGGATCCCGCTCAATATGCATCCGGCGGAGTTTCCATTTCCATTTAAAGCGGACGGGGAAGCCGGAGAAGGAAAACAGACAAATGGCCGCACGTAAGCGCGTTAAATTGAAAATCATTTTGATCTCGACGCGACCTTTTGCGGATGTCGCTCGATGGCAACCAGATAGAGAAGGGCCAAAAGGACCAAAGGACAACCGGCAGGAGCTTCAAGTACAGCATGTGCCGCTGTTGAAATCCCCCTCCCCCTCACCATCTCCCTCTCCCTTTCACTCCCCCTGCGTACGAGCATATTTTTCACAATTTTTCATTTTCCCCGGCGTTTCCTTTTTGAAATTTCATATTTTTCTCGGGCCATAACAACGGGCAGAGGGAAGGGCAGAAAAAAGCGCCTGAGGTGAAAGTTTTGCAGCCCGTTTCCGGCTTACTCACACACACCCACCTGCACACACACACACACATACAAACTGTATATAGAGCCGGCCAAAATCCGTACACTTCATGGCGTGTAATGCGTTGCGCGTTTGCCGCAAAAGTTTACAAAACATTCAAGGGTGGCCGGGAAGTTCTTGGCAAGTACGCGAGCGCATTAAATTCGTAATATGTTCCGCCTCGCATTGATACCGATTACAATGGGCCATTAAGGGCGGAACTATAAACAATCTGGAGGAGATAAACTTATGCAACTTGCTCTTTTAAGGGGTACTAACCTAGGAAAATATCATAAAAATTACAAAAGCGGAAGCGATTGGAATTTTTCGACTCACATAAAAGATGCCTCATAAAAGATCGATAAATTAAGTTCTTATAAAACGAACTATTATATATTACGAAATCTTTAGAGATCTTGCATCTTCAAATTTTCAGAAATAAATGATGATCTATAAAAAAAGTAAAATAATTTTATGGAAGTATTTGTAAAATGTATGTCACATTTACTCCACCACAACCACTGTGCCGCGCTCAAAAAGAAGCAAGCAAGTCAAGTTTCGTTGTAAAAATTTCGCGTGATTTCGCTTCGCCCCCAACAATGTGGATGCGGTTGCTCCGGTTGCCGTGATATTGTAATATGTATGAAATTCGGAAGTATTTAGGGAAATCGTTGTTAAAGATTTCGTCGTTTTGCCGCCGCCGTCGTCGAGAGTTCCACATCAATGCCAAGATGGCAGCAGTTGGCATTCGTGCGGTTGGTTGTTGGTTTTGGTTTTTGGTGGCGTTGGTTTCGTATAATTTTGCTACTTTTGCATGCACAGCTCCCCTTCCCCATCCCCATTCCCTCCTCCTCCCCTTCTTCCAACTCATTTCGTATTCCCCATTTCCTGACCCCCAACGAAAACATCCCCCTTCTCGAATTTCCAGCGGAGGCAACCTCAAACCCACGTCAGTGTAACACGCGTGCCTATAAATTTCGATGAGGCTGAACTGAATGGATGGGGGCAATGGGAGGTTATCTGGGGGTGGTGGATTTGTAGGTGGTTGGGGTCAAAGGACATTGTCGCCAAGTCTGCGTGGGTGAGCGCAGATTTCTTTATTCAATCGTTTTTGCGACTCCCACAGCGCTCTCATCATCGGCGGCCATAAAATAAAAGTTACGCACACCCTGGGGGCCAGGACATTACCCCCACCCCCTCTAACCCTCCCCACACACACACACATGTGTGTGTACCCACGCATGTTCATGTCCTGCGGCGTGTTCCATGCTTGACCGGCTTTCCTCGTTTTTCCTTTTATTTTGCCGGCTTTTCAACCCGGACAATCTGCCCGTTCGACTGGCATTCAATACAAGATATATGGACACTGACCGCAAATAATTGCCGCAGCCAAGGCGAAATTGGAAAATTGCGCACAAAGAAAACTCCGGTGGGGAAAAGTGCGGAGGGGGGAGGGGAGAAAAGCGGGTCAAATTTGCATGCTGCGCATTTTTCAATGAACAATGACGTAAGCACACATTGTTGGTCATTTCGTGGCGCTTATCAAATCGGAAAATCGAAAAAGGAAAAATGGAAAGGGAAAGGGGAAATGGGAAATGGGGAAAGGGAAAGTCGTCTCCACTCAAGCTGAAGCAATGAAAATCCAGGCAATGAGCCAGGGATCCGGATTTCGGTGATGGAAGTGGTGGAAGTGCTAAGCTTATTGCGTCGTTTAGCCAACACCCGAGTTGTTCTGCTCGAGCCAACGAATTGGCCAAGTGGCAGCCACAGCGATGAACCCTTTGAGTGGCAGACACATGAAGATACAAACTGAAACACACACACAAGCACACACAGTTGCAAGAAAAGGTCCTGGCACATTTGGATTTGCGTGTAAGCAACCTTAAGTCTTTGATTTTCCTCGTGGAAAAGTGTGTGCGGAAAGCTCTCTCCTCCGGAGTTTCTGGGTTAGGATGTTGGGATCGCATTTCCATCGGGGGCGAGACCGTGTGACGTGTAGCGAATTGACAAGTTTTTGCGACTTTCGCAATTTTTATGACTCCATTTACTTAGAAACAGGCGGTGCGGTGCAGGGAAAACTTTGCGTTGATAAGCAAAGCGAATGAAGAGCAGGGAAAGGGGCGAAATGGGGGGCGGGGAAAATTTATGCTGATGTGAAGGGCCCAAAAGACAACAAACTTGACATGGGCTCCGGCTGAGGAACTGAGCAGCTGAGGAGCAACGATTGTAAAATACATTAGCATAAATTTGACATAAACGCTTCACAAACAGTTTCTTCTGGCCGAGATTGCTGTCAGCCATCCAGTTTCCCCCTGTGACTTATCGTTTCAACTTTATTAAACCGGGTTATAGATGTGGAAAGTGCAAATCTGCAACTGCTAAATCGAGCCATAACATAGGAAATTCCATGCGACGCACACCCGCTTTGAAATTAATTTAAATTTTAAATATGATGCCCGCTCGTAAATTTCATGTTTGTGCTGCGGGCAAAAAATCGTTTTAATACTCTTCAGCCAGCGGGTATTCGGCCTTAGGGATATAGTGCGTTGATACCCGAAATGTTTATGGCATTATTCTCTCTGACAGCTGACTTAGTTTGCATTTGTCACTGGGCTTAGTTCGAACACAGATTCCGTTGGTTGCGAGTGAATGGGTATGGAATATAGGGCACAGAATCATCGGTGTCTTGCAAAACTTTTGTCTCACGCCTCAATACACACATCAAATTCATTTCATATGCTAACCCGTCATCAAAGAACCCCTCCTCTTTCTACTCCACCCCCCTCTTCGCCGCCCCTGGAATGTGGCAATCTATCTGAGCATTTTGCTCTGACGAGGCGACGAAAATAACATGTCAAATTTATAATGCCAGCAATTGCGTTATGCTTTTTTTATGACGCCGACGGCTAGGCAATAACCCCAAAAACAGGAGGAAAAATGGGAAAAACTGGGAAAATGGTTTTGGTTAGAGCCAGATGCCGTTGGCGAGAAAAACGGATAATTGTTTTTAAAAATAACTCGGGCATTTTTTACGATTTGCTGAACTAATTATGGCGTCGATTATTCCTCCAGCGAACTAATTTCGAGAGTAATACAAACTTTTGTATACTTTCCCACCGGTGCAGCCGCTCGTATAGTTATCATTATCATTACCGTTATTATCCAAGCCAGCGAAAGAGAGACATCGCATTGGGGGTTCCCCATTATCCATTCCCCATTTCCCACTTCCCATTCCCCATTTCCCGATCCCAACGGAGGGAAATCGATGCCGCATTGGAAAATCAACTTGCTGCCTGGCAGGCGTCACGTTTCCCCACAAAAGATGACGGCAATTGTTGCAAATCATTTTTTATGCCTTGCACTGCCTGCGGTGCAGCGCATGAGTGCGAATATAGTTATATCTGTTGTTGCCCCGAAAACTTTTGTTTGTTTGCCAGAGAAGAAGAAGTCGGCCCAAAGGCAGAAGCCGCTGCTTATGACTTTCATTTGTTTTGACATCACGTTGTTGGACTGGGAACTGGGAACTCCATCGAGGAGCAGGCGGCAGGCGGCAGAAGGCCAGTATAATCGGCCCATTGAAACTGGCTGGCAAAAACGAAATACCAACAGACTGGTGGCCAGATCGAAAAGTTTTATGGAATGCTTAATAACTCTTTCCTTTATGGGAAAAGTATGCATTTTCCTTTGACCGAGAAAGCATTGCAAGCTGCCACAAAAATGTATGTCTTGCAACTCGACTCGAATTTGAATATTGTTGTGAAAATACGAATATATGTATATGTTGGGCTCTTTAATTGGTTTTAATGCCTGACAAATATTTTGTATAAATTCCTGCTAGCCTGAGTTTTCAGCCTTTTGTGGTGAAGATTTTTAATGCATTTAGGCCTAAAGGATTTTACAGTTTTATGGAATATACTTTTTGGTAAGTAAATATTTAGGATTGCAGCTCAAGTCGATTTGGAATACTTTTAATTGGCTTTCACGCCATCAAAATTGTTTTACAAATACACATTGAAATTCAAAGTTCAAATATATTAAAAAAAATGGTATGATATTTACATTCCTTCACCTTTTGCTTTATTTTTGTTATGAGTACTTAAGTTGAGTCGACTTAAAAACTGAATGAGTGTTAACATCTCAGTCAAACGTTAAGTACTTCTTCCCTTGGGAATTTCTGCGCATTATGAATTGCTGCTGATGTGTGTATTTAATTCCAGCTAAATCCTTTAATGTGTGTTTGGATATTTTCAATCCTATTATCTGGCAAACTTTCCTAGCCATAAAGAGCTCTATCTGCCCTCGTTCCCGAGGGAGAAACCATTGGGGGAACTCATAAAGAAGTTCAGCACGTTGCCGCCGCGCTTTCTGTGTGTTTTCTGTTTGTTGTTTCGCTGCTGGGCGTATTGGAAGTCGTTTCGAATTGGCCGATGCCTGCCGTTCCGCTCGGCATTTCTTTTCGGCATTACGCGTTATTGCAGAAACAGCAGTGGAAGCGGCTCCCATGACTTTGACTTTGCTGCTGCACCCATAATCAGAATGTTTTCCCTCCGAAAAGACTACGTGAAAATGGGCAAAATGCGCAAATGTTTGCGCACTGGTTGAGCGGCATAATACATAAACACGAGCCCCACTGGCCAAAAGGAAAACTCATCCGTGGCGTAGCAAGTTCGCCGGCGGCGCTTATGCATTTTTCATACCGCACACAAACACGTCGCTCCGCTCTACATATTCATATATGCGCAGAAAAAAAAGAAGGAAATAGGAGGAGGAAATATAGAAAAGGAAATGAAATGAAAATTCCCCCATCCATCAACGCGTCAGAGGGCGGCAACAGCTGCCGACACTTGGAGTGCCAATAAAAATGTTAAGTATCTTAGCCGTGTTGACATTCCGGCGGGCCAAAAAACCATAACGTTGAGATACTAGATAAATGCCTTCGATACGGAACAAGTACTTCGAGGGAGGCGCCATAATTCAACAGCCGAGATTAGAGGGCGAACACATTACTTTCGACAGCTTCGATGGGCGGGCATAGTTTTCTCGAATCGCGTCAGGCTGCCAAAAGTATCTGCGAGATACTTTGGCGCTCTTTCACCCTTGTTGTTGTTAGCTCCCTGGCAGCTTGTCAAAGTTGTGTGTGTCTCAGAACTTCTTGCACTTGCTGTAATGAGTTTGGTAACACGTTTCCCCGCCGCAGTCGTGTAAACATGCTCATTACACCGACTGCCAAACATGCAGGTGAAAATCAGTCCATGCGAAAGGACAAGTTTCGGGTTTTCCCCGGGAATATTCATACATGTATAAATGTATTTGTGCATATTTTGTGTGGATGGATATATTTACATTTACGCGGCGTCACTAGTATTTACAGATTAGCATAAAATTAACGCACACGCCCACGCATTTGTACAAAAGTAATTTACATGATAATACACTTCTTGTTTTCAAACTCAATTTACGGCCTGCGCCGTTGAGTTTCTAATTAAAAATCGAGTGGAATCAGGTTCTCTTTTTCTTTTTTTTTTTTATTTGCTTCCATCTCATTTTATCTCTCTCTGGTTTTTTGTGTTTTGTGTTATGTTGATTACTCACCCGCTTGCCGCGTTTGCCGCGCGGTCCTTTCTCGCCGGGAGGTCCTGCAGGTCCAATGGGTCCTGGCTCGCCTCGAATTCCCGGCTCTCCTGGCGGACCTGTGCGAAATGTTAATTTCAGCGAATCGCTTCTAGTGACAGATTTCAAAATGCGAGCAAACAACAATGCCATGGATATACCTACATATACCTATAAACTCGGCAGATACACAGATACTGTGGATTCAACGGATACAACGGATCCAACAGACACAGATACAGATACGCCCGCAAGTGTTGGGCAAACAGTGGGCGTGGCCCTTGTAATTATAGAGCACCGAGAGCTCAATAAACCCCCCTCCACCCCCTCTTACCCCCCTCTACTTCCCCCTTCTATCATTCCCCTCTAAAGCTTGTTGGTTTTGGTCAGCAATTTGTTCAACTGGTTGATGATAAGGGACGGACAGGCTCTTGATGGCTTAACGATGGCCGGGGCTTAGTTGGCAATGCAAATTGTTTATTTGCCTGCGAATGAAATGCCCTGAGTTCACAGTGGTCGACAATCGATGGTTAATATTTCAAGGCTTCTCCAACAGCAGCAGCTTTTGCAGCTATCTCTGCTTGACCTACTTAACGGTGTTCTATATACACATTACGTTCCATTTTACCTTTCCCCTCCGTTCCCCTTCACTCCACTCCACTCGTTGCAATTGGAATGACAAACAGATGCAGAATAACAATTTAATATGCATAAGCTGCACTTTTGCTGGCAGCTGCAGGATGTCAGTACTTATTTATACCGCCGTCAAGGATTCTTGGCTAGAAATTGGATCTCTGTGTGTGCGTGTGGAGCAAATACTTGAAGCGTCTGCTCTTTGCAAATCCAATTTAAGCTCATCACAGGACCTCGCCATACTGGCAATTTAACGCTACCCAGCTAAACCGCTCGCTCTCCACTCAATTTGAGCACTTTGTTTGTAAGCCGCCGCCGCCAGGTTGAAGTGGCCCATAAATCCATCAGCGGCAAATTGACTTTGGCCCACTGTGCCAAACCGACGAGCAACCTGTTTAGTTAGAATAATGAGAAATTGCGTTTTTTTTCGGCTTGTTTGCCATGGCCATTAAACGAGCCCATTTGCACAGTCAACAGGGCAAAGGGGAGGAAAAATAAGGGGAGCCCATATCACAGATAAATCCAATTGTGCGGCTTGTCAAAATGGGCCAGGGCGCAAAAGATATAGAGAATTTATTAAGTTCGTAAAATTGCGTTTTATGTAAAGGACCTCGTCCTGCGGAGAGCATAAATTTTGTCAGTCTGCCAGGACGGAACGGTATAGCATCCAATACAGATCCCGATCCCGTGATGTCGCCTCCCATTTTTGTTTACAAAGCATTTGTCCACAGGCTCCATTGTCTGGACCAAAGTTATTCCTTTATGTATGCATAATTCACCGCCGTTAAGCATTTTAGGCGACAATTGCAAAACAGTATAAAAACTATACAAACAGAAGGGATTCCGATTCGAAGGGGGGCTCTTAGATTTATAGTGTCCAGTTCAGGATATTGGATTGCCGGTCAGCTTAGTGTTTATTTGGTTTGCTGGCAGATGAAAGGCCCGAGATAAGTTTTAATTTCATAGGACGGAAGCTCAAGCCCCCCAGAAAAGATGCAATGCAATCAAGCAAAAAACCCGAAATGAAATGAAATTCAAATAAATCATGGAATAAATTGAATTTTTTGATATTACATCTGGGGACCAAAAGCGAATGCCATTGTTTTGTGTGCCGAGATTTTCGGAGCTTTGCTGGCAGCTGACCGGCATTTTCCGACTGCCAACGACGGACACATCCAATTGCTCAGGGCTGCCACACACACAACAAACACACTCACACAAACACACACAAAGAAAGCTTAACTAATTACGGAAACGATAAGATAAGCCGTCGAGAGCAGACGCAGTGAGTCCCGGAAACAAATGACGTTCCATTTATTCAAATCAAGAGAAGGCAAGGCAAGGCAAAGTGATGTCCCCTGGGCGAGTTCTTGTCGCCGAATTTGGGCCCGGAATAAATTGCAATTCCATGTCCATCAGCACGCAGCATGGGGAAAAGTGGGCGTTCGGCGGAAGTAATCGAATGAGGCATTAGTGCAACAGCAACTGAATCTGCAACTGAATCTGAATCTGCCACAGCAACTGCAACTGCCATCAGATATCGCAGCGGTAGATCTTGTACAGAAAGCACTGAAAGAAGCCCAGAAACAATGGCCAGCAAGCCGAGCATCGTCATCGCAATCACATCGAAATGCCATTGCGACATCGAAGCACTTTGATGCCAGCCAACTGATAAGTCAAGAGGCACTGGATGAAGGGGCAGGGGCACGGATGGAGGGGGAGTGGCACGTGGAGGGGCGGATGGGCGGAGAAGGGGGCGTGGACCCTCGTAATGATGCGGGCTGCACAAACCGCAGCAAAGCGCTTAATTGATGGCGTTGCTCGCCAGCCTAACGAACGACCAAATGCACAAGGGTAACCCACTCATGGGAAACTTAAAGAATCAAAATAAATCGAATATAAATCTGTTTGCTAAATGAGGATTTAATGTAATTAAAATCTTCAACTACGCAGTGAATAACTAGGAATATATGTTTGTAAGAAAATAAAACAAATAACTAAAGAAATACAAAATGTAAACGACTGAACGAATTTATGACCAAATTAATAGTTGATTGAGATAATAATTCTTAGAAACTCAGATTTTTATTACAAAAATCCCATTTACTGAAATTTAATAGAATTATTTAGACTATTAAAACTTTAATTACTGATCATATTCACTATAATAAAGTTTACAATAAAATAGAAAATAAACCGCACAGTAATTTAGAAGTAAATTAATTCAAAATTAAATTCCTTAATGTCCCCATGGTCATAACAAATTTAAAGCCAATTTGGTTGATGGACGTTCAATGTTGTGTTAACCGTAATTACAAGTGGGCGTAATTTCGAGGCATAAAAAAGAAGTTACTAGAACCGAAATTAAATTAAAATTCTATGCTGTCAATAAAAGTTTCAACCGCGGATCATCAACACCATCAATCCGCAATCCATCAATTGGCTAAGGAGGAGTCCGGTGTCATCCCGACGACTTTTATGGGCCATCAATCCATTTAGTGTAGTATATCCATCAGTCGCAGCCCGGCGATTGCCCATTTATTGCGTCCACTGAGTGCCCCTAGTAAAACAATAGTACAAGCTGTCCCACTGAGGTCGGGATCCAGCCATCCAACCGTCTAACATCCCAGCATTTCCCCAGTTCCCCACTTTTTGAACCCACTCCATGGCATCCCATCGCATATTGTTGTACTCCAACTCGATGGTAGTCATGCTAATGAGCCGCTAAAAGCAACATAAATGACATAAAGTTGCATTTTTACGACTGCGGCCAGTGCCACAAGTTCTCGGGGTCTACAAATTTTTATGAGAATCACCGGATTTCTATTTGATTCTCTCGCCCGTTTCAACTATTTTGGAAAGGCATGTTTTTGGGGCTATTTTCGTGTATTAAATTCGAATAAAGTGCAGAAATGTGTTGGGCCCCGGCTCATAAAATCCGGACCGAGCTAAAATGGAAATTCTATTGTTGTTGTGGGAGTGCTATTCATGTGGGCGTGGCACGAGGGGGCGGCTGACCGAACTCCCGGCATTGCGATGCTCATTTAATTGACGTTGAAGTCCGAACTAGGAGAACGAACAACAAAAAAGGTCGTAAATGTTATCGCAAAATCCAGCGGCGGAAAATGAAATTTGAAAATTTCCAAATATGGCAGAGGCTCCAAATAAAATATTTAAAATATGTGTGAGGCCATAAAAATGTGGAAAATGTATGAAAAGCGCGCATGGGGTTCGCCACTCTGATTTCCATTTAAAAGAGCCGGCCAAAAATAAAAGGCGCAACTTAAAGGCCGAACTAATGGCCAAACACACAGAGCAGCTAGTCAATGACTCAATTAGTCGGGGATAGGGGGATATATATTATAGTGTGCTGCATTCCCAGATGCGGATGACAATAAATTAGGCGACCCGCAGCCGCGTGGCAACACTTGAAAAACTCATCCGATCAATCGAACGACCGATGCCCAAAACTGCATAAGTATCCGTATCTGTAAATGTATCTGTATCCGTATCTGTGTATCCGCGTTAAGTGGCTGTTAGATGACGCAAGGGAAAACAAACACACGCATGCTGTTGGGAAAATCAGCTGGCACTTACCAGGTGGTCCCGCCGGTCCCGGCGGACCCTCAATGATTCCCGTGGGGAATTCGTCACCCTTGATGGTTGTGGTTAGTCCACGATCGCCTCGATCGCCCTTGTCGCCCTGAAAAGTCAGAGGGAAAATGAGTCATTCAGGGAAAATTAAGTGGAAAAACCCAAAGAGTCAGCCTTAATGCATAAATAAACGATAAATACGGCGAGACCCGCACGCCATAAAGAAAATGGGAAAGTCAGGAGAACAAAAGAGGACCCAGAGAACCGACAGGATGACAGCGAATCACTGGCAGTCACTTAAGCCGTCGCCGTGTTTATCCAACAGATACAAATAATGCATTAATCCTGGTGACATCTTCCTCCCCAGTTCCTCGTGATTCTTGCCCTTTTTAGGGTGTGTTATTATGGGTGTTTTTGTGTGTGTGTGTGTGTGGATTCTTATCTGAGCCTTTGTCTGTTGGGTAGGATTTTTCGGTGAATCACCGGACAAGAACTCACCTTGGTGCCAGGTGCGCCGGCCACGCCGGGAGGTCCTGCAACTCCTGGCTGCCCGGCCTCTCCTTGAACGCCCTGCGCTCCTGTTTCGCCCGGTGGTCCTCGCTCGCCCGGCACGCCCGGCTGTCCCGCTTCTCCGGGAGGTCCTGGCGGACCCGGCTCACCGGGCTCTCCCTGCGATGAGGAAACATCTTTATTAGTTACGAATCTCCCATGGAGTTGTTCACCGAGTCGGGGGGCACGTGCAGGACATAAACCAAGTACAGGACATGCTGGGACAAAAGAACAAGTTCTCGGAGCAACTCACCTTCAGCTGTATGACTGTGGAAGCGGATACATTGACGCCTGCTTCTTGCAAGTCCTTACAGCGTCAACAATACCAAAAACAACAAAACGTACCGCAAAATATAAATAAACGTTAAAAAAACAATTGGGTTAATCAAAACAATGTTCAAACAAAAACAGTTAGTAAATCATCAAAATAACGTTAGGTTTCAGCTGCTGCAAAAGCGAGATTAGCCAAATTAAAAGCAAATAAACCAAATTAAATGTTCTTAAAGGGTAACTCAAAACTACCAGACAACAAACGGGATGGAAATTCCATTAAAAACTACCAAGGGATCTTCCCAAAAAGTTGCCACTGTCCAAGAAATGAAAGGAGGGAAAAGAGGGGGAAAAAGGGTTTACCAAAACTACGATGTTGCAACGAATTTATGGCGCAGTTTAAACAAAAGAGCCAAGGCAACAGGACAACAGACAGGAGACAACTTAAAAGCATTACAAAGGAGGATGAAGCGAGACAATAAACACAACTACAACTACACAACTAAGTAAAAGGACCAGAAGGACAAATCCAGAGACCAAGGACCAGAGACCAGAAAACCAAGCGACTCAGCCAAGGACAACAAGTTGCGAATAATTTGTTGTTCGCCGGGCTGCCATCGCCTGGCCATCTGCATTTGGCCCCTGAAAAATGGTCTTGACCATGTCTACGTGTCACAGAAAAAGGGGAAAGGGGGTTGGGGGGTTTCCCACAGAGTGGGTTGGATGAGTGGGTGGTGGCAATACCTTAACAGCAACTATCTCCGCATAGCCCAGCGTGCCGCCATGCAGCGTCGTCACCGATCTCTTCAGACCCTACGAATGCAAAGCGGTTTCGTTTCCAGTTTAGTTTAGTTTAGGCTCTATTTCATTTCTGGCCCAGCGTGTTGCAGCAGCCTTAGCGGGTTTTTCGATTTTGGGAATTCAGGGTGATTGGTACGCGCTACTTACCTTCACCGTTTGGAAGACATCCATGCCGGGGTGGCCGACATCGCCCTTCTGGCCCTTGTCACCCGGCTTTCCGGCCGCGCCCTTCTCCCCACTGATGCCATTCAGGCCCTGTGGAAGAAACGCATTAAAGTTTAAGGATTCCGGAGTGAGACCTTACATGGTTCCCTCTGGTGTTTTGATATACTTTCTAAGCTAATTATTCTTTTGTTTTCCTATTGCTCTTTAACTCAATACCTAAAGTTTTAGAAAAGGAAACACTACTCAATCATTTGGTTATGCAACAGTATTTTGACTAATTTGTAAAGAATTAAAATGCTTTATAGAAATTTATCTGTTTTAAACAAATATACAACATAGTTATTGACCTCATCAACATCATAACTTTCCTCTTTAAATATTCTTATTATTGGATGTGAGAGTAACTCAACTAGAAACATTTTTATACCCTTGCAGAGCAAAAGGGTATAATAATTTCAGTCAGAAGTTTGCAACGCAGTGAAGGAGACACCTCAGACCCCATAAAGTATATATATTCTTGATCAGCATCACGAGTAGAATCAGAATACGTCTGTACGTCTGTCCGTCTGTCCGTCTGTCCGTCTGGCCGTCTGTCCGTCTGTCCGTCTGTCCGTCTGTCCGTCTGTCTGTTTCTCTTCAAACTAGTCTCTCAGTTTTAAAGCTATCTTGCTGAAACTTTCCCAAAAGGTGTGTAGCTATTGCACGCAGTATATAAGTCGGAACGAGCCGGATCGGCCGACTATATCGGATAGCTCCAATACGAAAGAATGAAATAAAAAATTCTCAGGCCGTTGTTTTTGATCAGATCGACTTGAATTCTTCCAGATGGCGTTTTCTAACTATTATTGAATTTCGGATTAAATTTTATCAAAATCGGATAACTCTATCATATAGCTGCCATAGGAGAGATCAATATATATATATAGAATTAATTGAAATAAATTGATAACATCGTTGTTTTTTATCCCATGAGCATGATTTTTTGAATATCAAGTTTTTTAACCACTCTTATATTGAGAAAAAAGTTTCATAAAAATCGGACAACTATATCTTATAGCTGTCATAGGAAAGATCGAAAAATCTATATAGAAATAACGGCAGTAAAATTATAACATCGTGGTTTTTTATAAGACAAGCATGATTTTTGAAATATAGAGTTTTCTTACGACTCTTAAATTACGAATTAAATTTGATCAAAATCGGACAACTATATCATATAGCTTTCATATGATCTATAGTCGGAAATATGGAAAATGAAAAGAAAAATCGTTATAGCTTCGATGTTGTTTAGCCTTTATGCATTTTGATCGACATATTTGATGACTGCAAGGGTATATAAGCTTCGGCTTGCCGAAGCTAGCTTCCTTTCTTGTTTATATTCTGCTAACAAAACTGAAAACTATATAAGTGTCCTAATCAGTCATCACAATATTTTATTAAACTTGAAGAAGACTTTAAAATAATCACTGAAATATCTAAAACTAACCGACACCTTTGGTAGTTTCTCAGACTTGATAATCCTAAGTTTTAAAGTTTTTGGTTTCAGCAACATCATTAAAAATCCTTGTTCAAAACACGTATTTAATGTGTCGGATGTTACCACTCCTTGTTACTAAATTTGTCCGTAGCGTATGGATCTCACTTCCGATGGGAAGTTGCCTTAGCATATGGAGCTCATTTCCCGTTCGCAGGACTTGCCACTTACCGGATCGCCCTTCTCGCCGCTGTCGCCCTTCTTGCCGCGCTTGCCGCGTTTTCCCTGAGGACCCGGTGGACCTGGAGGACCTGCAATGAAAAGTTTCGTGAGTTAGTTGTGAAAAAGCAATCTTAAGGTCGCCTCATTAGTTGCCCATTGAACTTGCCGCTGACCCACAGGACACTCGTCGACTCCTCGGCTAGTGGCAAGCCATTATTTCCTTCTCTGTGTCTCTGCGAAGCCCCAAGTTGCCCGAGTTGAGCTGCTTTTTTGGGGCGTTGTTTTTTGGCGCAGTTGGCGCAAATTCATTTAGCTGAAAAATGACTTTTCGCAGCATTTTGTCACGCTGCGGGCAGAAAAGCTGCCGGCGAACAGCGGATGGCGAATGGCTGGCACAAAATATTTACAACCACTTTGGCTGCTATTATTTCGGCGCTGCGAGGAAACTTTATCTACCCAAAGGAGTCGAAAAGGATCCGAAGGAGCCAAAGGAGCAGGACAAAGCTGCAGTCGATGCTTTTCAATTATTTCGCATGCAATTTTCCCCGGCATAAAACTCCGTGGCGAGGTCCTTCGTGTCCTGTAATTTCCCACCACTGCAGGCAGCAGCTTTTTCTTTCTACCAGCTGCCTGTCTGCCCGTTGGCAATTATTTTTATTAGAGCCGACTCCGCTGCACTTGGTTGTTTTATGCATCCACGGTACAGGAAATTAACACCTAAAATTCCAAGACAAAGGCTTCGGAATGGCTTTTGTATGGTCCAATGTATCAGTCGGAAGGTGTGAAAATATTTAATTAAATTAACAGACAACAGCAACAACAAGAGCAGAACAACGGCTGCAGGAAACCCCATCCAAGCCCCCCTACACTTTGAAGTTTTTTTTCGGGCCGTTCCATATAATAATTGTTGTAATTAAGTAATTTCGTTTTTCTACTTCTCCGCTGAAAGAGAAAAAAAAAACCGAGGAGCAGCAGTCTCAACGCGAGAGGTCTTCCGAAAGGAAGCTGCCCTTAATGCAGGAAACGCCGGCAAACAATTTAAATTCATTTCGCGCTAAAATGGCGCCGCAAACTACCAAAGGCACGCGCGCCTTTCGCCCGATGGGTGGCAAAGTGGGTGGGGCAGTGGGCGGTTGTAAAGGGCGTGGCCCTTTAGACTGCCAGACTGTATAGGTGCGAAGTGAGGCAGCCGGCATGACTCCGGCGGTGGTGGCGCCCCTTCCTCCTAATCTACGGATGCTTATTTAATTAAAAAAAGATTTCTCAGTTCACGCACCTAGGAACACGAAAGTACGGAGGCAAATAAAAGCCAAAAAGGCCAGACTAAAAGAGTATATTTACAAGAAATTTTAAGGCTGTTTGCTAACTTTTAGATTACCTGGTGGAGCTTTCACAAAAAAAAGAGCTTGAATATAAGTAGGCCCATTAAAAACCGTACAGCAAGATTATTATTTGCAGTCCACCTAAATACAGAAAATTTCTGTTCTTAATAAAATAAACATTTGAAAATAATTAAAATGTTTTTATTTATTACAGGAGAAATAATAAAGTTCTAGAGTGATTAAAACATTATCAACTGCATTATATAATTTACTGAGTTTAAGTCATATATTTTAATCACTTCTTTGGATAATTGTAATACCTAATAGGAAGAACTTAATGTTTTGTATATGGGCTAATCTTTCACAAGAAAAGCAAATCCAGGAAACGACATTTTATGGCGCTTCTGGCCCTTCGGCTTGGCTTAATCAATAGATCTGCGGAGAAAGCCGTAGAAGTGCTCCGTTAAGCCATCCATGAAATTTCCCTAATCTAGAACTTGGCCCACTGTTCGTCGTAGTCGCAAATTATGCGCTTGCAGCACTTGCCAAGTAATAAAAGCCAACCAATTAAGCGTGGCTAAGACTCGGGCTAGAAACAATGAAGGAGTAACTCGGCCCAGCGGGGAGTAAAGTTGGCTCAAGGAAATGGGGAAAAACAGGGGGAAAAGTGGGAAATGCGGGAAAAGAGGGGGAAACTTGAGCGTCAAGTGTCGTAAGCCAAAGCCAAACGGAAAGCGTTGACGCACGAAAAAAGAAAGGAAAGTACGGAAAATCGGCGAGTTCGGTGGCCTCGGAAAAGGGAGAGCGGGAAAAGCGGAAAAGCCTTTGTAAGGGAGCGGAAAAAGTTAAAATTGCTCTTAATCTAATAGCAACATAATAATCATAATCATAACATCGTTTGCCTTCACATGGGTGCCCTCTATTTTTCCTCTCCTCCGATTTTCCAGCGTTGCCATTAACGCCGCATTTTCCGTATTATTTTCGCGTTGATGGCGCCATTTTGGCTTACAGTTTGTTGGCTGCTAATGGCATTTATTTGTTGTTCTTCCTGCTCCTGTTGATACTGCCGCTTAATGCGCTAAGAAATCTCATTGTGGACCCAAATATACGTACTCACTTCTTTATATAGGTATGTATATATATATATATATATGTATAGGCTGTCAGCGAAACTAAGTGCGTTGCCAGCTGATGAAGTTGTTAAGTCACAACTTGTATTTTTCTTCCGCCCAACTTGACTCGGCAGTGCTGTCGTCTCCAATGGATTTTCCCGCTCCTGATGATGATGATGATGATGGGGATATTGACGATGGTGCCAGCAATTGAACGTACTCGCACATACGTGCCAGCGAAGCTATAAATCCATATCGATGGCATTAGTTCAACTGCAGCATCAGCTTTCCACCCCCTCGCAAAAAAATGGGGAATTATGTCAAGTTGTGAGCGTAATAAATACTCGACTTGGCATCGTTTACGTGCGTACAACACCACGACAACACGTACAGCAAACGGCGGCTAAACAAGTTGGCAAAGTATCCCATCCCAGGAGATGGGTTGACTACATCCTTTTCGCCAGGGAAACCGGGATGAAAAGCCAGAATCCAGAATACAGAATCCAGAAAGTGGTTCTGCACCTGATCGGGGAATTGAAGTTTCGCCGGCTGCAACATCAACTAACTTTGCCGCCACACTTGGGGCTTGTTCATTCTCCCAGAGATTCATCTAATTTGCCAAGTTGCCGGAGCCGCAGACTGAAAAACACCATCCATCGGCAGGGCGGCCAGCGATTTGCGATTCGGGGTTCAAAGTCTTAACTCGGTTCGGTGTGTGGTCAAGGCTCAATTGATTTTCCACCGAAGGGATAACTCTTTTGGGCTCCATTTGAATGGAGGTCTGATTGGGTGCATAAAAAAAGGGGAATGCTAAGTGATTTGCTTGGAATTTGGTCAAAGCAGTTTGCAAATAGCTGACTCAGTAAGCAAATCCGAATTTAAAGGCAAATGCTTAGAACCTCTTAAAGTTATTTTACAATATAAGTGAATTCTAAAACATTTCTCTGTCATTTCAAAGTTTTCGCCGCATATGCCTTTCCAACTTGAGTATTTAAATGAAAAATGTTCCACTTATATTTAACCTAGTTTAATTATTAATATTGTGTTGCCAAAGCCGTCTTTTCATACTTGAAAAACTTTCGCCGATAAGTGCACCTGCTGCTTGTCTTTGAGCTGAGCTAAAAACTTTTGCCGGCATAAATCGGATCGTTTGGCTTTAAGTCAGCCACTCAGCGTTTTCATTAGCAGTGCTTAAACCGAAAGCAGAAGAGGCAAATTAAATTTTCATTTAAACTGGTGCAAGAAAAGTGCGGAAGAGCCGCCCGTGCAGCTGCTCGGCAATCCGGGATCCCTGTCATCCTGTCAAGGACGTCTGTGCGCTGCGCAAAATGAACTGCCAGCCAAACAGTCAGCCAGCCAAACAGTCAGCCAGCCAGGAGTGAAACTTGAAATGCAAACATTGATGGCAAACTTTTAACTTTTGCCGTGACGTGTGTCGTCCTTTCTGCTCCCCAATGGTGGTGCAATGGTGGTGCTAGTATAGGTGGTGGTGCTGATGGTAGTGGTGGTGGTGTCCTTCGTACGTGCGTCAGCGGCAGGCAAATGCAGAAAGCAGAATGCAGAATGTGCAGCCAAATACAAAATGGTGAGCATACTTAAAGCATTTGCTCGAGCTCCATCCTGTTGCGGACATAACTGCAAAAGTTTTCCCTGCCAGCCATTCAGTTTCCCCAAAGGAGTCACGCATTTTCCCACCTCCCCTTCCCATCCCCCTTCTCCCCCATTCAATGCAAATGAAATTACGTAGCCAGCGGCGAGAGGAGGGGTGGAGTGGAAAAACAAAGGACGAGGAAAATATGCGAGTTGTTCAAATGCCAAAAGGCGCACCGAATGCTGTGTTGCGTTGTGTTGCTGGTTGTTTGTCTGCAACTTGCCGCTGTAAATCTTCAATAAATGCGTCTTGCAGTCGAAGGACAAGTGCGAGGTGAAAGCGGGAAAAGTGGGAAAGCCCTGGAAAATGCGGCGCTACATTACATTGAAACAAAAAGGCGGAGGACTTTCGTCCTGGCTCTCGGCAAGGCTCTTGTCCTTGTCGTCTGCTGATATGCGATACTTTCCATACAAAATAACTCTTCTCCTTCGCTCATCGCTCCACTTTTTCATTTTTTTTTTCGCTTCTTTTTTTTGCCAGCGGTGTTTTGTTCGCAAAAGTGTCTCATGTTTTTTTCCTAGGGATTCTGGGAGACTGTAATTGTAGAGCGATTCGGTTACTTCCTGGAAACCAGCTTTATCCCCCGGCAACTGACACACATAAGGAGATAGAATAAGGATGAGGAGACCCTGCCCTGAATATGATTTTCTGATTATCAGCAGAGGGCAAACCCGTTTGTGATTTATGCTCGCTCATTAGGACAGAAACCTGTTTTCCCATGGGCTTAACTGAGAGACAGGTTGCTGCGTCGAGTCACAAATTAAATTGAGCCGGCCAATCTTCAGTCGGAGCTATAATTCAATTCAAGTGGTAACTATGACCATAACTAATTATCTCGCTCGAGTAAACACAAATGCCCCTAATTGACTTATGTGCGTCTTATGTGCAACATGCGGAACATCATAAATGGCAGCAACGAATTGGCAGATCATAATGTTCGGACGGTAATCAACAATGGACCGGGATGAATTAGTGTCCCTCGGGCGGTGTCTGATGTTCGACAA